AACACCGCTACCGATAAACATATAATATTTATGGGCGATTGCAACATTGATATACTTAATGGATATAACAGCTACTTATCAAACTTCCTAAAGAAATTTAATTTACAATGTGCTGTGGTATAAATTATATAAACGATTTACTAAATTTAGCAAAAAAATTAAGTAAATACATTAAATAAAATTAGTTAGAAAATACTTTTACTTTCTAATATAAATACATCGATAAATGCTAAGAGAAAAAAAAAAGTCAATAAATTTTTGGCCTATGTATGATAGATACATTGTATATATATATATATATATATATATATATATATATATATATTATGAACAAAAATCTATCAACATCTATCCTACATATCATATATATATATATGACACGGGTGGCAGATGTGGGGATGGTCGGTGGAAATTCCTTGGAAGTTCTTCTCGACTAAGTCTGATGGACTCGCTGACCAACAATGAGAGGGGCCCTCCATACTTGCTGGAGGGTGTGAAGTAGGAATGAACGCCCTACTCACATAGTTTTAGTTCACCATACACTACAAATAGTCATGGGTCTCCTTAAGGTAAAACGCTCATTATCCGGAGGTAACCTAGTCCCTCGTTCGGGTCTCCAGTTAGAGAATGCTTTAGGGGATTCATGGCACAAGCTGAAAAATATGGATTGAGGTATTGTTACATAGAACTTAAGGAGCTTGAATTCATGAGGTGGGTTCAAATCGGTGGCGACCGAGGTTAATGGGTACAATTTGGATATTGTAGCCCTGCAAGAGGTTTGCTGGCCAGGGGAGGGCACATTAAGGGAAGGAAAGTACACTATTTGGTACGAATGAAGTGGAAATCATTGTTTAGGTACCGGGTTTCTAATTAAAAATAGATTTTTACCCATTTTGAGGGCCCTCCGATTCGTCAGTGATAGAATTTCGGTAGCCATATTTTAGGGACCTTAGTTTAAAATCGCGTTAATAAACATACACTGTCTGACCGAAGACCGTGATGATGAAGTCAAATGCGAATTTTATGATAAACTCAAGAGGATTTATGATAAACTAGTTCGAAACTGCATGAAAATAATTGTTGGTGATGTAAAAGCAAATATAAGAGGTAAGACGATCGGTAAAGAAAGTTTTATTTTTTGTATTTAAGAAAGTTTGTATTATATGTATGTATATATATATATATATATATATATATATATATATATATATATATATATATATATATATATTTGTATAAAGTGCTCAGTTGCCTTAGTTATGTTATTCAAATAGTGTGATGGAGTTAAATATGACTGAAAAAAAAATGTAATTTAAGATTTAGCTCATTTAAAAATAATCTTGGTAATAGCTCTTTTTTGCCATAAAATAATTCCTACTTAAAGTAGAGTGGTAAGTGAAAGTTGTGTGGTGCGCGCACCAGATTTTTTTTTAAAAGTTAATAAACCTTAATAACATTAATTTAATTATAATTACAAACTTAAGAAAATTAATACCATTTATGATAATTTTATGCTGAAAATGTATTTGGTTAAACAAGCGGAAATAAAATTTATTGACTAAGGAGATGGTCCGGGGTGTATGCAGCATGGAGTTTCGGTTGAAAAGGGCAAAACATATGGGAAAAATAGCTGATCTTGTTGAGGGATGGTTTGGGTAAGTAGTAAATAATAATAATAATAATAAGGCTTAGCGAACCCGAAGGTTCGATGCCGACACCACCAATCGCTTGTTACACACCTCCCTCCACCGTTCGCCGTCCAAACCCAGTCCCTTCAGATCGGCTTTAATGCAATCTTCCCATCTTCGCTTCGGTCTACCCCTCGGACGCTTACCATTCGGCACAGCAAATATTAACCTTTTAGGAATTCTCTTGTTACTAAGCCCAACAACTTTACAAGCCCATTTGATTCGCCGCGATGAAATTACCTCAATTATATTACCCGGATACATCTCACGCAATTCGGCGTTGTGTAACCGTCTGAACTCTCCGGTTAACTCATCCTTTTTCGGTCCGAATATTCTACACGGGTAAGTAGTAAAACAAAACGAAAAACCAGGAATATTACAATATCTAAAATTTGAAGATATTGATGTATAAAAGAAAAAATACAATATCTAAGAACTAATTAACTGTAAATATATACATATAAGATAGGATTAAGGAATTATAGATAAAAGTACAATGTGAATACAAAATAATAAAAGACCGTACCTATAAGTTGAAATAAAATAGTTTTTTTTTTCACTATTTTAGTCTTTTTATGAGTGCCACCCCGCACCATCTCCTTACTGAATAATATACAAGTGTTAATCATTAAGTATTAAAAAAAAATATTTAGTTTCTCATATATTTTCTACGAAAATTCCATTTAGTTTCTATTGAAATGTATATTTCCCATTAATAATATAAAACCAGACATTATTGACTACAAAAGTCATTAATTTTTCTTTACTCCCAATATGTTCCAAAACCTTATATGTCAGATATTCATTTTTCTAAAATCTTAAGCTTTCCAGCAATATATCATATGTTTAGATTACTATTCTTATTTTCAGAAATTTGTTTTCGAGATGCATAAATATTCCTCCCATTTTTCCATAAGTTAATTATAAAATTCTTTCATAGCTAATATTCATCTATTTTGTATTATTAATAATGAGAGACTTTTAATTATCAAAATTAAAGCTACTTCAGAGTATGAAATTTTGAAAATTTGGCATTTAATTCCCATTAGACTATTTCGATGAGGATAAGACAACTGATATTAAAGACCATTCAATTTTACATTTATATAACAAGTTTAATCAAAATTGTTATAGCCGTTCTCTATTGTAAAAATTCGTAAAATCAATGATATTAAGTTTCACTTTTGCTTAGTTGATGTTAGGAAAAAAGTTACTGTAACTGGCTTATATCTAACTTGATATGTAATTTCAGTGTGGTATGTCTTTTTTTTTTAACTATGTTGTTCACACACAAACACAGACATTTTTTGTGATTTGGTTATTTGGACTCAAGTGACATTAAAATATGTATTTCCATTGAAAACTCGGATTCAATTTTTTTTATGACTGTAATACTTTCCCTTACCATACATTTCATATATGGGTAAGTGAAAGTAAACCCTATATAAAATATTTTATAAAAACTTATTATTGTGCCTCCATAGGCATATACAGAGACTCCCTGGGAGAAATGTCAGCAATTGAGGTAGTAGGGATTGTCTACTTAAAATGTAGTTCAATGCCACTATTTTGAACTTCATCTTCCGATCGCAGATTGTTATTGAGATTTTATATTTTTAAAAGAAAATTGTGTTATTTCTTTGAATATTCTCATTTTTGTCACCATTTCCGGAATCTATGATGAATTTCTGACATCTCAAGATTCTAATTCAATTTCTAGGGAAAAATCACTTTGTAAGAATACTGTCATCAACAATAGGGACCACAGCAGCTCAGGTTTATGCCATTCCCTGTAGTTTATAGGACACTAAATCACTGCTGTGGTTAGGTTGGGTCATGTTGAAGTAATCCTTTTGGTGATTTTTGAAAAAAAAAACAAAAAAAACAGGATCATGTTTTCTAATGTCCATAAATACCATTTCTGGAAGGAAATTATCGATGGAAAATCCTCAAAAATTGATGGAAGGGTAAATGGACCTATGGTTTCAGAATCAAATGCACACTATGCCAGAAATTTTTATGTGTACCCCAAAAATGTTAATTCCTTTTTATAACTCTTACCAATTTTATGATATAAATAGGTCTACTATAAATAATTTCAAAATATAGTTTTAAGTTAAGGTTTGTTGTAGAATAATATTAGACTTAATCTTATTTGTTAGATGTAAACAATACTTTAAACCTATATATAGAGGATTAGCAAGGCAAATAAAGTTTAGTCTTTACACAGTAGTCTTGTGTGTTATTATTGTTGTTATTTGTCTATATGTATGTTAATTGTCTGGAAATATATGTTTTATATATAATATTACAATATTTTTATTAATCAACCTCTATATATTATAACTTAAGATAGTAATTATAGTCGGATAATAGGTCATGAACTACACTTCAATAAACTAAAACAGCTCCTGTTTATTCTTTTTATTCAAAATGTTTCGATCTCTGTTTTTTAAAATAAATAGAGATTGTCGTGTACACTATTGTTGTTGGTATCGGTATTATTCTTGGGCTCCAGGATCGGGGTACGCGTTGCGGCCCCCATTAGCCTGATGTCTTTGTGACGGTACTGTTTTGGCTTCAGCTTGCTGTCCAGGATGTTCATGACCTATGGCTTGAGTGTCAATGCTCAATTTAAAGCAAGTAAGATAAATTTAGGATTATTTTTAAAATGTATGAAAACTTTTAGTTGTTGTACCAAGGATGGGTAATGTTTTTCCAGAACTGAAGAGAATTCCATTATTTATTTTAAAAATTGGGAATTTTTTTTTTGTTTATTGATAAATATTACAATCTGTCTCAATAAAGGACATTTATAATAGAGTTCCGAGAGCACATTCACACCATATTTACAAATTAAAAAAAAAAAAAATAAAAAAAAAAAATAAGCTAACTTCAAATAATATAAAGCTACAAAAGAACAAAATAAAATATCATAGTGAGAAAAAAAAAAAGTAATGAAAATAAACATCTTAGAAAAAAAATTAGGAATAGGGATCAAAATGTTTTAAATAAACAGGAGCTGTTTTAGTTTATTGAAGTGTAGTTCATGACCTTTATCAGCCTACAATTACTATCTTAAGTTATATATATATATATATATATATATATATATATATATATATATATATATATATATATAGTCATTTTAATTCAAATAAAAACAAAATGTCAAAAAAAAAGTATTAACTTATTTTTAATTAAATTCTTTAGTTTTAATTGCAAAGCTTAGAATAAAAAACATAAAACAAATTTTGCCATTACTATATTTTTATTTTATAGTTTTTGGATTTGATATTTTTTTGTTTCCAGAACACCTCTGAAAAAATAATCCTAGGCTCTTGTGTTAGGCGAATGTCAGATACAATTGAGAAAAGGTTCTGCTTTGATCTAACACCTGTTGACAGGTAATAAATGATTTTTTAGTTGGCTTCTCAGTTAATTTTACACCTTGATTATATAAATCAATGTGGTTAATTCTTTTTATAAAATAATTTGTTATTAATACAAAAATCAACATTCATTTTGGGCTTGATTTTATGAAAACTATTTCATCTATCCTGCTATCCATTCCTTCCATTCTGCTATCCATTTTATCATCCATTCCTAAATATTTGAATAAATAAATCTGTTATGCATCATAGCAGACTCTTATTATTATATCATTAAAATATACAGAAATACAAGAACTCAATTGTGAACTATTTGATTGGCACATGGCTATTCGATACCATGTTGGGTATTATTCAGGACTGTTTAACATGTAACCGTCAGCACTTAAGATTAGCTATTTCGTTACATCTCCTGTTGAGTGGGAGAGAAACATTGCAGCCATCTTGAATTTCCCCTCTTCTCGGTAAGTACATTTTTAGAAAAACAGGCAGTAAGCCATACAAATATGCCCTGAACTTAGGTTCTGGTATGACATATCAATGTACCATGAACTATGCGATTCTATTACCATATGTCAGAATATTAATAATTATATAGAAGATTGATTATAACAAACTGTTTTTGCTAAAGTTGGATGTTGTTTCCAATTCCAACCTAGATTCGAACAAGCATCTGTATGTACCTTAAAAATTGAGAACCCTGATTTCGTCATTTGCAAAAGGATCAGTTGAGATGAAGTAGATTTTGTAGAAAAAAAAAAAAAAAACACTTGAAAGATTCAAGAAATTCTCTTATTAGCGTTATTTGTATATCTCTTGTGCTTTATTGTAAAGAAGGAATGCTGAAGTGAAAAATGGGTAAGATATTCTAGTTTGTAGGCCAAGCCTCATTTATAATTATTGATAAAATATGTTTTGTGTTTCTTACAATTTATTTTACACAGCTTTTCAATAATGTAGATTCCTTTATATATATATATATATATATATATATATATATATATATATATATATATATATACACATACATACATACATACATACACATTCACAATTTGTGTATGTGTAATTATGCATTCTATTAAATTTTATTTCTATTTATATTGCTCATTGTTATACTTTCCATTATCAAGCATTTAAAAAACAATTATTGATTTGGTAGCCATGAATGTTTTAAAAAGCTAAATTCAGGAAACTCACATTTCAATATTAATGTTATAAAATGCAAGCCAAAAAAAAAAAAAAAAATGATAGCACTAAAATGTTTATTTATGCTTTGTAATTGTTAGGTCTGTAAGTAATTAATAAGTATCTGTTCTGAAAAAAAAAATTCAAATTTAAATGCCAGTTTGTACTTGAAAGATTTAATTTATATTTCACTGCTTAAAACATAACAAATATAAATAAGAAGTATAATCACTCAATGAATTTACATTGGTTCACCACCAGGAGTGCTACATGCCATCAAAGTCAACAATTAAATTACTAACATTAACACAATGAATATAAAATTGTGTTAAAACTTTATCAGATTTTTTTTTTATTATCAGATTAAAAATGTTTTAAACAACTCATTCGCATATCTTAAATTCTGAAGTTTTGGGATTAATGCCCCATCATCAGAAAGACACTGCAATATATTAACTTAGTTGTGTAGCTTTAATATAATTATAATACATACTATTAAAATCATCACATTTTTACATATTTAAATTAAAGTATTATTAAGATTTTATACCTTGTTATTATACATTTTTCACAATACCATTGTATTATACATATGTAAACAGGCAATTCATGTTTTATTGGGATACATTTACCAAAATTTGTTTCATCTTTGAAAGGTTTTTTCAAGATTAAATATTCCTTTTTTTGTAATCATGGGCTCTTGCAAGATGTTTTTGTGTTCACATCATTGCCTGTTTTGGTACTTTTTGTCTAGCGGGTCGTCCTGAAACCTCACTTCTTATCTATCTTATCTAATGTCACGTCACATAACCTCCCTCTTCTTATCCCGCCAAATCTTTGAGTTATTGCATTGTTTAGTTTTCAGTTATTACGTTATTACGTTCACTTATTAAATTCTTTACTTTTGACCCGTTTGTGTTTATTTTTCATTATTTTTAGTTTGTGGCCCCTTTGTGTTTATTTTTGTCGTATTATGGATCTTCTTAGAATATGGGATTTGCCATCTTCAGAAGAACAGGCAATTCAATATTTTCAAAATGTTGGGATACATGCCGCCGTGAAATTGTGTGAACGAGGTCGACGAATGAAGTTAAGCAGGAAGGCCAAATAGAAAGATTATGGGGGCTCAGCGAAGTGGAGAAATAAAGTACATAGTGGAAGTGCCAGACAACACCTTGATTCATATTTGTGTGAATTTTTGTGGCGGCAGGTTCACAGAGATGAGGACCCATTCCTTGCTATTTTAAATAGCATAAAACAATTTTGCCTTCCAAAATAAATAAGACAAAAGGAAGTGAATAAATAAGTGAAAATAATTTGTACATATGTTGTTTATAGTGTTGATATTTTTTCTTTTCTATGTAAATATGTTCTTTTAAATGTGTTTTTTTATTATTTCATTTTATGTTTTATATGTACTTATCTTCTTAAAGTGTTTTTTTATTATTTCATTAATATATGTGTCGTCAAATAAAAGTAGTTTTTTTGTTGTTACATTTGTTTACACTTTCAATAATATGAATTTAATACAATAATACAAAGATATGAAGTAGGAGAAGGCTTATCACTGTGGGATGGGAGTTATCAGTGTGCAGGTTATAAACATTGGCAGATAGCAGTCAGTGACGGCCCGCTAGATAAAAAGTACCCCTGTTTTTTTCAAAACAGAATTTTGTTCTTGTAATATGTAATTTTTTTTATGAATAAAATTCTCCAAGTTTTTAGTACCTGGTGCTTTTGAGCTGATTTGGACTTAATCGAACCATTATTGCTTCTTCAAGGTATACAGGTATGTGGAAGAAATTAAATCTTCCTTCTGGGGTAAATTTTTTATTACTCATGATTTTCGCCTATATATTCAGCATTTCGGGGCTCTTGCCCCATCTTCAGGAATATTTTAGTTCTTATTGTTCCAAAATATTGTCCTGTATGTCATCCATAATTTATTTTTTTCTCATTTTTCTTATAAAGTTTTACATCTATTTTATTTAGCAACATTCTAATCTTGCATTGTTACCCTTACTTATTATTAAAAAAATATATAGATGACATTTTGATGGTTATGAACAAAATTAACAAGCAAGAACTATTACTATAGATGATGATTTTACTATAGAAATGTCAGTCAACAAAACAATAAGATTTTTGGATATTGATAGAATACTAATATATATATAAAGGAAATGGGCTAGAAAAGAAATAACATGTAACTTAATATTAAACTACTGTTCCAATCACTCATACAGTCCCACCAATAGAAAATATATAAAATGCAATCAATTTGAATGATTAAGAATTTTTAAAAGACATGAAAACCAAATTAAATAATATTATGTTAAAAGATTTCAAATGACGGAGGAAACAAAGTCTCAGATTAAAGTTGGTAGAGCTCTATTGGAAAAGTTTGATGTGGCAGGTGGACTGAGACTAGGATACCCACTGTCACCTATAGTATTCAACCTGGCTCTCAAAAGGTGATAAGAGAAATTAGAATCAATCACATAGGAAATATTTTTAACAGGCTTACCCAACATATGGCATATGCAGATGATATAGCCATCATAGTGCACACATTACCAGCCCTTTCAGGAGCATTGGAAGAGTTAGAAGCGGCAGCAGCGAACAAAGGCTTGAGAATAAATGAAACTAAGACGGAGTATATGAGGACATATAGAGCTCAAGCAGGTCTCAAAGAATTGCAAATTAATGGGCACAAATTCAAGTGCTGCAAGGACTTCAAATATCAATGATATCCTAGTAACAGAAGAAATTGATATAAGTGCAGAGATCAAAGCCAAAATAGCAGCTGAAAGTAAATGCCTTTTTGTGCTTAATAAGTTACATAAATTCCAAGTATTGTCTCGATCAGCAAAAATCATCATATACAAGACTATAAGACCAGTTGTGATATGTGGAAGCGAGTGCTGGGTTATTATTAAGGATAGCATACGGTTCTGAGAGTTTAGGAGAAAAAGATGCCCCAAAAGATATTTGGCCCTGTAAACAAGGATGGACATTCAAAAATGACAAAAAAATAGAGAGCTTGGACTGCTCTTTAGTGAGCCTAATATTGTGGCCATCATCAAAGAATTAAGGTTGCAATGGCTAGGCCTTGTTCAAAGATGCCAGATGAGAGACTACCAAAAAAAGATTATGAATGGCAGACCCATCAGAAAAAGACTGACAGGAAGACCAAGACTGAGGTGGTTGGATGACGTAGAGGACAATTTAAAACAGATAGAAGTAAAAGTAAGGCTGAAGATAGGCAGGAATGGCTACCAATTCTAAGTGAGGCCAAAGCTCAACTAGGGCTGAAGTGCCATTAAGTTAGTTATGTTAAAAAATTGATTAACAAAATATAGCACAGTGCAACCAATAATGAAATTCCAGTGCCAAAAACCAAACATCATATAATTAAAAATGATGTTACAAGTGACAAAAGGGAAAAAAATAGCTATATTTATGAAATGATACCAATACGAGTGAAAATAGTAGAAAAATCAAACAAAGCAAATTTTCAAAGTACAATTTATATCTAACCCAACAGAGAAAATTAAAGAAATTTTTAAAACTAGTGATTTTTCAAATGTATATTTAGTCCTTTACAATAGCAATAGCAGAATACAAAACTATTTTTCTAACATGAAAGATAAAATATCTATAAAAGACAAAAAAAAAAATGTATTTAAGGTAAATTGTAAAAGATTATTATAAGATTTGTATAGGGCAAACATCTATAAAAATAAACACCAGACTGGCTCAGCATGAAACAACTTGTAACAATAGAAAAATAAAAATACCTCAGCCCTAGCCCATCACAGTATAAT